CCTAAACTTCGTATAAAACTTCAAATTTACATTTGAATGATAACCACGATGAAACGCGAGAGAGACACAGAGCAACATTTAACACGAAATGAAACTCGTTCAAAGAAGCTAGCCGAAATAAATAGAAAAATCTAAAGCTACTACATAATTTGTTATTTTTTTTCCCTTAAAATTTAGTACGAATATACAATAATATAATACTTAAATATCAATTTATTTTCTCATTATTATTTTTCTTTTCATTTTAATTGTTTTTTTTCTCTAAGAAATTTAAACTTAGGGTCACAACAATTAGAGATCTAGGATTTTTCTTAACAGGCTAAGGTCAACGACCTTTTAAAATTTTTTTTTGTATGCCATTTCTTGTACAAATTTCTTAATAAATCAAATTTATAAACAATTCTTTCTATAAAATTTCTTCAATGTTTTATTATCACATAATTAATAAATTTAATGTAGGTGATGTGATTATGAAACATTTATTTAAGAAATATTACTCCAAAATTTTAGAGATTCAATTTTTGATTTCAATTTAAAAACAATAAATAACAAAATCTGAAAAGAAAATAAACCATAAAATTGCAAACGCCACATAAAATTATGGACTAGGCTTACAGTCTATTAGGACGGTTACGGCCCCATCACATCGAGTTTATCAAGCTAAAAGTTTGTGAGGGAACGTTTCCCGTCCGGATATTGCTGCCTTCGAGCGATTAAAATACTCTTCCAATTAATTTTTTTGCCGTTTTGCATTATTTATTATCTTTTTTAATTGTAAAATACCCTACGTATTTGTGTCGGTATAAAGGAACACACGTCGCGCGTACTCTTAAATTCTTATTTGGCAGTAATGCAGAAGACACCATGTTATTGATATGATTAGAAAAAACGTCTACATATTGCTCTGTTTTACGTTTTCTTCTTTACATGAACACAATCGATACGATATTTAAATTAATAAATCAAATAAATTATAAAATAGAAACGAATAATATTTAGTCTAATTGCGATAATATAAAATAAATACATCTTTGAGTCACGAAAATTAATAAAAAATATATATTAATATATACAAATTAAGTCTCTTTAATAATTTTATGCTCTTTTAAACACCAATTGCATTTTATTTATTTATGACAATAAATAAGTCGATAATGTTAATTGCAAAATGGACGAGATGAATATTTTATTCTCATTATTTATTATATTATGTATTCATTAAAATAAAACCTTTAAGTAATATTCTTGGACATAGATTGATTTTTATAAATACACGGATTCCATAAACCTGTAGCTTAGTGTAAAGTTTAAATAATCGGAACTTTTAGGAATTGGTCAGGTTTATTAAACTAATCAGTAATAATAATGATAGCAGAACTCTTAAAGTATGAAGGTGCTAAAACAACAGATACATCGTCTGCTTGGTGAAGTGTGGGAGCGAGAGCAAAATATTTAGTTTCAAAATTTGAGACTATAGAACAAAAGTGCTTTCCAGACACATAGAACCATTAATAAACCCTTGGATTAGTGTGGTGTCCATGTAGTGAGGTCAACGACATATTTACAATTACAACGATACTTGAGACATCTTATAAGCACGATATACTGTGCATCAACTCTTCGTGGATTTCAAGCAAGCATATGATAGCGTAGATCATATCCTGTTAATAGTAATGCTGCGAAAATCACTACTCATAATAATGAAAGTGTGACTTGGAAATAATATCGACTTGAACATCAGGAAGCGAGTATTGCCATGTTTAGGTTTAGAACTAATCACATATGTTACAAAAAGGATAGATGTTTGAGTTGTAGCCTAAAATTCCAAAGAAAAGAAAATGGAAACCAACCCAATCCAACTTTGAACAGATTCGAAGAATAGAAACGCAAAAGCAACATTGCTTAGGCTAAAGAGTAAAGAATATTTCTTACAGGGTTAGGCAGAAAAAGGTCACAACATTTTTTAATTCAATAGCAAGTTTCATATAATAAGCACAGTATACATGATTGTACTTATACACAATATTTGATCTACCAGAGAGGAATGAAAATGATTGAAATTACCCAAAATCTATTTAGAAGTAATCCTACCTTTTCTGTCTTCTTATGCCAATGAAGCGTGAAAACTATGATAGTTGCCCAATAGATTTTGTCAACTGTATAATGGACCATATTAAAATGTTGACAAAACAATCGCAGAAATAAAAATCCAAATAAAAAATATCCGTTTGCTGCTGAACGTCAATAGGGTTCATCTATTTATTATAGATTGCTGAAAGAAAAATTTGAAAAATGGATACAAGGCCAAAGTCTCCTTTTATAGCCATATTTTTTGATTAAAATTCAATTTATCTTTTGGTCATTCAAAAAAATCGGGTAAGTTTTGGAAAAATTAAGGATATGCTTTTAATGCCTAAAAGATATATAGGCTACTTCTAGAAACTCACAAATCAAAGTGATTTATAAAATGATAGATTTTCAGAAAACCATGCCATTACCAAGCAAATGTGGTTTTATAATTTTGGTATTCACTGTGTAAGTAATTAACGTCAAAACTCATATCTTTTTAGTTAGACAGAAGGTATAGATGCAGCAATGAAATTGCAAGCTGCTTATTAATATTTTGCCAGTACCTCAAAGACGAGAATCCTGATATACAGCACTTAATAACAGACTCAAGCTAAGTATAGACAAGAGTCTAAAATTAAGATTCTTCAAAGCTATGTCATTTATGATAATAGCCATGGGTTGCGGGAAACTACAACCATAATTTATTTATAAGTATTTAAAAATATTTCAAAGTTTTTTTTTATAGTAAATGATTTTTCTAACCACGTTTCTATGGTGGTCATAAACGAATGCAATTGACAACCATTGCATGTCACGAATTAGAGAAAATTTTATCAAAATGATGAAGCTAGATATGCAGCATCGGGACTAATACTGTAAGATAGGCATAATGTTTTAAAAAGACTGATATTTCTGACAGCAAAAATTTTTTTGTCACCTTCTTAAACATACTGAAAAATTGAAACTTTCTCAAAAATGACCAGATTGTCATTTTTCGGCAACATCTGAAGATGTTTTAGTACCGTCATTATGTGATATTTGTGAAAAAAAATTATAGTAGCGAAAACATCGAAACATATTATACAGGGTGATTTATAACACACGGAGTAGACTCAAAGGGTTGGGTTGTTAATAATGTTTTGACCACAACTTCATAATCACAAAGATATATAACGTTAAAGTTGAATTAATGGCCCAGCATTTCTTTCGGGGTTACTTAAATCAAATTACGTAGGTGCGCTTATTGTTTATGGAGCTGCTGAACAAAACGCTGCACACGCAAGACATCTGTATTTGAAACACTTTTCAAATCGACAGATGTCTTCAGAAAACATTTTTCTTCGGTTAGTTCAGCGGGGAAGAGAGGCAGAAAAGTTGCAACCTAAGAAAGGTCTTGGTGGCGGCACACCAAACAGACATGGAGTGAATGTAGAAGAAGAACCATTTGCAAACCTCTGACTGACTCCCGCTGATTATCCTTTGCAGCTGCAATTTTGCGAGTGACTAAATAATTGACATTTTGTAATTTTGCATTCTATTATTTCTTTTACCAAATTATGTGTTATCTAAAATAACAAAACTACTGAAACAATAAATTGTCCAGCTTTACAGCTCCTTCAAAAATGAGAATGGCGTTGCCAAGATTTTTAATTGTTCTTTACTGAATATCAGCGATTCTCAAAAATAGACGTTAAATTATTTAAAAAATAACATGCGATATCTATGTAACTATTAAGTTTTTAACAAAACATTATTAAGAAAATCTCTTCAGTTTTACCACTAGTACCTACCCTTTTAGTCTACTCCATATGTTACAAATCACTTAAATATTAAGGAGACATCAGTAGTAAATATCAATTTAAAGATATGTTTAGAAAAACCTTAACTTTAAAGCCTTGGCAATGTCAATTTAATCATTGCTTAATCTTTACGTTTTCACACTGACTTAATTATGAATTGAGTCATATAATCATATAATGGAAAGAATAAAGGCGAAACATTTTGGAACATGGAAGTTTTTATATGGGATTTAAAATTAGTTAATCTGCATGATATAGTTTGAATTACTTTGTATATAAGAAAATTTGAACAATCTTTCAATGTTATATGCAGTACTGGCAGTAAATTAGTCTCAAATTAGTGAGAAGAATAAAACAATTAATAAACAATTTGCTTTTTAGTGGGAATACGAAAATAAGTACGCAAATTGTCTATTAGAATGTAATTACAGTTGTAATTGAAACTATTGATGTTTGTACCTAAACTTACCAAACAGATGTTGTTCTGTATGTTATGGAGATTATTAATTTGTTTATCTAGTGATATAATCCATAATATTCACAGTTATGGTATCCGCAATTTTGGCTTTTACTTCATTAATAAATAAATAACCATTAAATATTATTCAAAAATTATCAGTGTAACACTTCACTATACCTCAGGATGAAATATTAAATTTGATGGAAAATTACAAATCATAAGTATAAATAATAAAAAAAATATAGCAATTAATTTTAAAATTCGATATAAAACATTTCCTATAGCACCCAAAGGTTTTATTTTAATGAACACAATTATTTTTTAAAAAAACGGCCGTTTAATATAATACAATTTTGATTGATTTTTTTGAACAGATTTAACATTTATCAATGTTTTTAAATTTAAATCTGAAAATCAATGATAAATGTATCTGTCGATTTTTGTAACCACCGTTTTTTTTTCTTTTTCCTCAATTTTCTATTTTTTTTTTTCAATTTCATTACAAGATAAAAAAATTAATTATAAAAAATTAACATCATTTTTAACCTTCGGTGTCTTACAACAAACAATCAAAAAGTAATCAATCCTAGTTTGGACCCAAACATTTTCATTTTCTTTTACTAACATCAGCACGGATTCTTTTCATGCACCTTATTTTCATTTTTCTCATCTTTTACCTACTTTATTTTCCTTCTTTCACAGACAGCCAGCTTTGAGAAAGTCGATTCCTTCAAAACCCTTCATTATTCTTTCTTTTTTTTTTCAATAAATTTGTACTGTCGGCAAGAGAAACGATCCACGGCCCTATCATCGTGAATCGATTCATTTAAAAAAGACCCCACACGCGTCCTGAACACAAATTACTACTACTAATTATTCATCATTGCAACCTTAATATATATATTTTTATTTCGACGATGAGGGTCGCAGACCGTAAATATACGAACAACCACTTTTCAACTAGAGAAAGGAGAAAACTCAACGAGACGGACAACTATTCGTTAATATAAATTACAAAACGGCCTAGATGGAGCGTGCGTTAATTGGCAGAAGGGATTTCACGCTTTTCTGTCGGAGATCTGCTCGCATCCGTAGCTCTAGGACTTCCTGAACCTCCTTGATTCGATGAATCGTCATAATAACCAGAATCTGAACTATTGTCGCTGTTGTACATTTTCGATGAAGAATCATTTATTTCATTCGTTTCGACTTTACATTGAGTTGGTCTCAACTTACATAATTGAACACGGGCGTTACACGCTTTTAGGAACCGTCTATCTACCAAAATTTCCCCATGTTCACCTCTAAATATTATTCCACAACATATTGACTCTCTGAAAATAAAATTATTATATGCATACATATTACCTTGTTTCTAAAAGAATAAACTTTTATGAAATGCTGATTTGCAAGAATGTTGATTGGAAAAAAAGTTTCAGAGAAGGTAGAAAATTATATCTAAATTGACATTTTGAGTATTATGACATTTATTTTGAAAGTGACCAAGTTTATTATTTTTGAACAGGAACACGTGCACAGCTCGACGGACCGTTCATGACGTCATGCATGGGTAGGCAACGACTATATCATACTTTGCATTAGCAAATGTTGAATTTATTGTCTTCGTGTTTTGTAATGTTGTTAGTTTGTGACTTAATAAGGTTCATAATACAAAAGCAAAATCATGATCAAATTTAGCCGTGAGTCTCTTAAGACGGCTAAATCCGAATGTTTCTAGCTCTAGATTTAAGAATAACCATTAAAACTAGAATTAACACTAGACCTAGAACTAGAAACATTCAGGTTTAGCCATGCGTGTTCAGACTTTGAATTAGAAAGTTTCGGGTTTAAGCCCTACGCCTTCAGACAGGTAGGACGAAACAAGGAAATAAAAGTCTGTAAACGTCTTCGGTATAACCATAATACCGGCAAAAGGAACCCACCACGGATGATATCATTTTTTTTCCCATGAGAATAATGGCAACTTTCAACTCCAAACAAATCCGGAGTCTAAATAGTTCCACAATCAGATCTCCTGGAAGAACTGACTAGAAAGTGAACTTGTAAAATCGAAATAGATTAATTCCCCGAAAATCCCAAAAAAAAAAAAAAATAGGAACTTGGAATATACGTGGACTAATACAATAACCAGGAAAACTACAATTACTCTAAAAGCAGAAGATGGCCTTTAATATCCTTGGTATCAGTGAATTTCAGAGTATTTCGGCAAATAATATTTACTTCTTAGATTACGCAGAGGATTACACTTTCCTTTGCGTAACCTAAGAAGTGTCACAATAATAGTGCCAAGAGACTCCAAATTTGTTTGTGTGAATATGGCACAGTTAATGATAAAATCATACACCTCCGATTCAAGACCTCAACATACCTTCTGCACATAATACAAGTTTACGCTAAAATTCCATGGCGGAGGAGAAAGTACAAGAAAATTTCTACACAGCTCTGGACACTGTACAACTGGACACATAATATACCCACAATAATTTTATGAGATTTTAGCACTATAATAGAAACTACGCACATGGACAAATGGTGAGACAGGTTGTCGGAAGCTTTAGACTGGGAGAAATGAATGAATTTTTTTCTTTATAATCAACAGGCATTTCCAGCATCATCCATGCAGACCTTACACATGGACGTTGCCTAATGGCAGATTTAGAAATCAAATAGAAAGTATCAGGGATAGAATCGGACCAGTATAATTAACCAATATAAATTGCAACGATAATGTGGAAGAATCGTGGACGAACATAAAGGAGAATCATCAACACAGCTAGACAATGTAGAAGACAAGGAAATTTAAAGAGTTGCAAGCCTTGGATCAGCGACGAAAGTTGGGAAATTATAGAGCAAAGGAAACATCTAAAAATAAACAGCAAACGTAATAGATCTCTACCTAAAAATATTCAGAAAAGATGTCACAAAGATAAAGATAATTGCATCTTCAATATACAGTGCTTGCCAAAAGTAACAGATAATCTATATATTTTTTGATATAGATCTAAATTTTTTCCGCCATTTTTAAACAAGTATGGCGTCATTTCTATTTTTTTCAAATAGCAATCCTACATTTTTATGAGTTACGCCTAAATTTGTATGCCTTAAATTTTCATGATTTTCCATTCATTTGAGGTAAAAAATAGCAGTAGCCATGCGTAACCATGGCAACCAGTTGTTTCAGATATTTTGTTAAAACAATGACTAATTTTTGATATCTGAAACAGTTGGTTGCCATGGCTACGCATGGCTACTGCTATTTTTATTATAGCATTATGATTATTTTTCTCGAAAATTTTCTTATGTAACAAATATTAATATTAATTGTACAGATTCAAAAAAAAAGTCCTCTTTCATACTCCGTAATAGAAATGAGGCATTGCTATTTGAAAAAAGTATCAATGACATCATTACTCATTTAAAAATAGTGAAAAATTTAAAACCTATACTTAAATCGTTAGACCCGTCTCAACGATTTTTCCATAAACTGTTTTTAATGGCTTTACCGAATTTATGCGCCACTTTTGGGAAACCCTGTATAATAAGTGACAGAAACACACGCGCAGCGAAACAAAACCAAAGACATGTTTCAGAAAGTCAAGCTTCTCACAATAGATTTTGAATAAGACACTGCAGTAGGAGATGGATATCGAAGCAGTTTTGGATATTGGAAGAAATATTGCACAGAACTGTTCAAGGATCAGCAGATCCTGGGGAAAGAGGAGAGAACTCTTTATACAAACGGAATTGAGTACGAACCGAACATCTTCCAAGCAGAGGTAGAGGAGACAATATCTTCAGGATGCGACGATATGATGGGAGAACTTTTGCAGAATCTGAATCAACATGGCATTAAAATCTTAACTAAGCCATGTAATATGATTTGAAACAAGATCAATGACCCAAAGATTGGTCTACCTCTACTTTCACTCCTATACATAAGAAGAGTACAACTACGAAATGTTACAACTATCGTAACATCTCATTCATTTCGCATCGGAGTACGATTCTGCTCTGAATTATTAAACGGCGTTTGAGTTTTATCCTAATTGGTAGATTCCACACTAGCAAGAGGATTTTGTAAAATTTACGACTCAGAAAAATGTCTAGAATGCAATATCCCAATTGATTACCAAAAAACTTTTGACTGCGTCAATTGGAAAATGCTGTGAAATGTTCTCCGTGACATGGGACTGCCTAAACACCTAATTATACTCATAAGAAACCGCTACGACAACAACATGCCCACAGTGAAAATAGCGAACCAACACTCTTTGCCCTTTAAAACTGTTAAGGGTGTTCACCACTCTCTCCTGATTTCTTTAACATCTACGGAGAATACATAGTGAAAAAGGCATTGGAGGAATGGAACGGAACGATTTCAATTGTGAGCAAGAAGATTACTTGAGACATGCAGACGATACAACTTTGATAGCTACATCAGTAGAGGAAATGGTGGATCTTCTAAACCAAGTTGAAATTGAAAGTAATAAATGTGGCCTTGAGATTAACGCAGAGAAAAACCAAAATTATGATCGTAGATCTCTGATGTACTGCAACTGACAACACAGATTTCAATTCGTAGACCAAATCATGTACCTAGGCTCATATGTTGATAACACAGGTTAATGTGAAAGCAACATCCGATGAAGGAGACTGGCAAAAAGTTCAATGAGTAGACTTTTATTACAAAAAGTGCTAAAATGAGGCTAGTTCAATCCCTGATCTTCTCCATCTTCCGATATGATGCTAAAACGTTGACAATTAAAAAAAAATGTGTTTGAAATGTGTGCGCATGCTCCGAATTAACGAGTAGATCTTTAGGGAATTAAACATCAAGAATAGACTATCTTCTATTTGCCTTACGAATATCCATAGGTTTTTTTGGACACATTGCACAAAGAAATGATGATATAGAGAGGTTGATAGTATCGGGAAATGTAGAAGGACGAACTTGATGGGCGACCCAGATTCAGAAGATTACCGGCACTTCGTTTTCCGATTAAATAAAGCCCGCAGTCGAAGTCAATGAGGAGTACTAACGGCATAAGTTGTCTAATGATCACAATTCTCAGTAATGAGAGAACAACTAGAAAAAAGAAAACATCTTCAGACGCACGGCTAAACCCGAAACTTTCTAGGTCTAGTGTTAGTTCTACTTTTAGTTGTTATTCAGCGCCAAGTTGTATATTTTGAAAACTTGAAACTTGTTTCTGAAGAAGGTTCTAGTTTTTAAATTTAACACATTAATAATAATAAAAATAGCAAATTCGCGCATATCTGAGCTTATGATGCAAGTGGGTTAAGTTATAGGGTTATAATACAAAAAGTAAATAATAAAAGTTGGGTAATAACTTTTAAATTTAATAACATCTAATTAACGTCATCTTTTGGTTGGCGATCTTTTCTATTGGCAATTACGAACTGAGAGTCCGCCGCGTGTGGCTGTGTAAACACGTCTACTGGAAGGTTAAATTAAAATAGTTTGCGTTACAATGAAACTAAAAATGTAAATGGTCAACTATAGTTTCTATAGTATTAATAGAAACTAACACAAAATTAGTGACATCTAGTGTCAATTTATTAATTTTTTACCTTTTCTAAAAATTTATTGACGTTTATAATAATTATTTTTTTTTACCTTTTCCAATAATTAGTGTCAACAAAATCACTAATATCTGGATCATCGCCTTGAACACGTCTTTTAGCATCTCCTTTCCGTCTACGATTGTTGCTGCTGCTAACGGCGCCGACACTTTCATCACAATCACTTCCGCCTGGGCTGGATCTTCCGCTTGGCGTTGATTCGGACATAAAATCCATCTCAACCATTTCCGTATCGGCGTTCGGATCGGCTTCGTTATCAGATAAAACGGGGCTGTACTCGTGTTCGAAATGCTTCTTCTTTCTACCAACGGTTTTTTCTCCGGTTTCTGATAGTTTCTTGTGCTTACTCTTGAACTTGGTCATGGATTTCATTCCTGGACCAGCGCGAGCATCCACTACCTGTTTTTGATACCACAAATACATCTTGTTCTGAGCGTACATCGCCAGGAAATAATTGATAAATTCAATAATAAACTGGCATGCTTAGATTTTAATTATTTAGAAATAAAAATACACACTACATTTTATTTAAATATTTAAAATAAACTTACATGGCGCCAATTTCTATCTGATCCAACTGGTAACTTCTTATATCTTTTCACTAATAACACACAGGCATTACATATTTCTCCTTGTCTAGGTGAAGACAATTGGAAGCATTCAACGAAATCACTTTCATATTTTTTACTATCAGTAAATCTTGAGCTAAAATCATGAATTAATTAGATTTCAAATATTATTTTATGAATAAATTAATTAATTTACCTGCTTGATTTTGCTTTGCAAATACAACAACCGGTAGATGATCTGTAAACTTTTGGTCGGTGGAAAGAAAACATGTTGGTGTTTTGTGATGGGGATGTGCAGTTATGTAGGTTACGTCGAATGGTTAACTAATCTATATAAATCTAGAACAAAAATTCAACAATTAATTTTTAGTTAACATGTGAAAAAAAAATGATTCATACGTTAACTTATAAAAAATACGACCATTTTAAACGCGTTTATTGATTCTATTCAATCAAATGTAATCTTATCAAAATGTTACGATAAGAATGCATTAATCGTAAAAAAAAAAAGTGCAATTTACGCTTAAACTAGTTGCATTGAATCATAAAGATGAATTTGTAGGTATAAATTTAATGGAAATCTATTGAAATCTTTTAATTGTTTAATCAATAAATTTTGTTGTAGAATTTTTAATATTGGTTTAAACATGGTTCAAGAAATATTAATACAAGTTGAATAATACTGCACAATCTATATTCCAAGGTTGTACTTGAAAAGTTTTCCTTTTGGTGAAGATGTCACATTTCTACCTTGCTTTAATAATTCATTATTGAATTTATCAGAATGAAAACAGGTTTTAGTTGTTATTATATCTATTACTTTATTAGCAGCCGATTTTATAAGAAGTATATGTAATACCTTTGTATATCGTGCCGCCCATCAAGTTCAGGGTAACGCCTATGAAAATCATTTAGTGTGTGTAACTTCTCTCTAAGATATTTAATGTTGTCATTGAACCAATGCAAATTTAGTTCAGAATGAGCGTTAGACATTTTTGTTTAACTAGAAAACTAGTATTTAAAGCAGCTGTGATTTCTTGTATAAACATGGAAAACTTGTCACTAATTTTCATTACAACGCAATCTACAAATTCAAAGTTTATCTTTGCAACATTATTATAGAAAGTAAATAGACCAAGCTTTGTAATAGGTTGTTATTTTTTTGCAACTGAGGGCTTTACCGCATCTATACATTTAAAACAAATAGCCAAGTGGTCGGACAAGCATGGATCAACAACACTGGATAGATAAAGAACAGTTGCGAATATTTGTGAAAACGTTGTCCAAACATGCATCGTTTTTAGTATTTTCGTAATTTGTCCTGACCAAGCCATAAGATATGTATAAGGAACAGAGCATCTACGCCTATCTACATACTTTAGATTCAACATTAGTTTGCCCAATACCATGTCCAATCTCGTCATTCAAACTAAAGAAGTTTGGTGTTCAGGGAAATCTTTTGCAATGGCTTGCTTCCTATCTGAAGGAGAGATGCCAGATTGTTTCGGTTAATGGTTTTTTCTCTAATCCTGTGTCGGTTCCTTCTGGTGTTCCACAGGGTAGCCATCTGGGCCCTTTACTGTTTAATATTTATGTTAACGGCATATTTGACGTCGTTAATTATGCCCAATGTTTAATGTATGCTGACGATTTAAAACTCTTCCTCCGTATCTCCTCACCTCTTGATTGTTCTAAACTGCAATCTGACTTAAACAATCTACATGCTTTTTGCTTAAAAAATCGCCTTTCATTAAACTTATCAAAGTGTAATGTTATTTCCTTCACTAGGAGGGCGAACACAATCCACTACAATTATAGCGTCGCTGGTGAGAGGTTGCAACGTGTCTCATTTATTAGATTTGGGTGTTACATTTGATTATAAATTATTATTTGATAAACATATCGATACTGTTGTCTCCAAAGCCTGGCGTATGTTAGGATTTATTATAAGATCAACGGTAGCTTTTTCAAACATTGCTGCATTTAGAAATCTCTATTTTGCCTATGTTTACAGCACACTTAACTTCTGCAGCGTCGTTTGGAATCCTCAGTATCTCTCGTATAAATCTAGAATTGAGCGTATTCAATCTAAATTCCTCAAATACCTTTGTTTTAAATTTTCCATTCAATACATTGATTACGAATCAACTTGCACTTCTTTTCGTATGTTAACCCTCAACCAGCGTCGCTTTTGTGGGGATATATTATATTTTTACAAACTTTTGAACAACAAGTGTGATTCTCCAATGCTTGTTGGTTCTATATGTGTTCACGTTCCTCCGAGATTACTTCGCTTTGATTTTCTATTTATGACACCTACTCCTAGAACCAATGCCTGTCAAAACTCTCCTTTATTGAGAATGGCAAGATCGGCAAATCGTGTTAACATAGATCTGTTTCAGCATTCTTTCTATGCATTTAAAAAACTGCTCTTTGCTGCAGTTGGTGTGTTGCCTCGAGCGTTCATTTGATATATGATATATTTATATCACCTAAACTTGGTTTTAGTTTTTTTTCCTTTTGAATCACTTTTGTACATTAATGTTAATTCATTATTATTATTATTGTGAACTGTAATTCTATTTTATTTGTATACAATTGGTTGTTTGTGGTACAGTATTATTGGGTTCGACCTGTTTCTGCACCCACATGAAATAAATAAATAAAAGAGTCAAAGCTACCCCGAGGAGAGTGATTAATTAATTATCAAGCAATTAATCCCTGCAACCTCAAAGTCCATCTCATTCGAGTAACTCACAACATCAAACGACAAGGGCCTGAGGGATACTGTTTCTCTAGCATAAATAGCGACTCCACTATGTGAGTACAGCGATCTACAAAAACCGGAAACTATTTTAAAATCACTTATCTTTACAATGTTAGATTCATTTAACCAATGCTCATTTAGGCATAAAATACTATATTTTTTATCTATAAGAAAAGCCTCGAGCTCAAAAATCTTACTACGCAAACTTCGCACATTATAGTGTAGTATAGAGCTTTGCTGTCACGGGCGAAAAACCACCATGACTTTACAGATGCACTATATATCATAAGTCTATTTGTTGCTAGTAGTTTTGCACCTGAAAGCGATTTGGGAGTCTGTTATAACAACATCTTCTGAGGAAATCGTGAAGGCAAATCTTGTGGTCTATTTTTATCAACTATCAGAGACAGAATTTTATGAATCAATTAATTTTTTTTTATGAAATTTCTAATACTAATATTATACAACACCATGACAGTTGATTAAAAAAATAATCATTACAGTCTCTTCATTGTTCTGTTCTCTTCTACGTTGAAATTTAAGAGTTTACTATGTTGAACATTTTAAACCTAGCTTTTATTGCGAGTTAGTATTAGAATCATTTACGTCAATGAAAGAGTCGTTCTTTGTCTAAACCTGTATTATCTTGTATATTATTTTAAATAGTACAAACATTAATTGTCCAAAAGCATTCATTTTGTGTGTGTATTAGTGTTCAAACTTTAAGAGAGACATATTGCATCTATATTACACTAAATACTCCTAAATCAAGCTGGTTAAGTTAGACCGGCGAGACGATAGCAACAAACCGCTCAGCAACAAACTTTTTCCTTTATATTTCCACCTACTTCTAGGCCCCATATCTTTGTTATCTAGAAAGATAGCAAAAAACTAANGTTGTTGATCTCCTTAGAGACAGTTCATATCGTTTAAGGACGTTGTCCAACCAGTGTGACGATACTTTAAATTCTTCTGTGGATATATCAAATTCAATTGCTATTTCAAGGGCAAATTTTTGAATATCAACCCTGCGCACAACCCAAGCCATTGGTCTCCTGCCTGCAATCCATTCCCAGATGCAACCTTCCAACTCAGAAAATAACGACTGATCCAACTCTGCGTTTTTTCTCATTTCCTTGGTCCACCAGGTGACACAGGTAATCGTAGTCTGCACGCCATTTACGAACCATACGGAGATCCAGCATCTTCTCTTTACAGAATGCTACAAGATTTACACCCCTGGAGTCTTCCACGATTCCCTTTCTGTACTCGACGGAATAGCTGTTTCGTTTTGTACTCATTTTAACTGAGGTTAAAAATTATTCACTTTATTTTTAAATAAAATGACGTATGAGGAAATAATCAGACTTACAAGACTGAAATTATTTACGTTGAACGCCGTATACCCTCTGTTCCGTAGTGTGAACAGCGTAGACCTTCGATGGTGCGTACAAGTGCATTGTGCCTCTCTGTCAGGGTTTTTACTTATATACCGCTCGGGGAAATCCCTTATTTTGTACTTTAAAGCACATTCAATATATCGTGAAGAAAAATTTTACAATTGGTTTCTTAAAGAAAGAGAAAAGAATTCACGAAAAGAAAGTTAAACTATATTATTACTTATACTTAATAAATCAACAGCATTTTTTAACGAATTCTTTTTGTCACATTATTTTAACTAGGGCTTATTTTCAGAGGATGTCTTATTTTACAAAAAGTTCCGAAAATCACGATAGGGCTTATTTTCGGAGGATGTCTTATCTTCGGAAAAAGACGGTAGTACAAACATTAACTGTCCAAAAGCATTCATTTTGTGTGTGTATTCGTGTTCAAACTTTAAGAGAGACATATTGCATCTATATTACACTAAATACTCCTAAATCAAGCTGGTTAAGTTAGAAGGTCGAACCTGGGTGGTTTAAGAATAAATTTGTGCTGATATAGATAGCTTATTGGCAAATGCGATTTGAGAAATTCCGAATTGTTAAAAACTGGAAATTCCATTCATAAACGTATCTCCTGAAATGTGGGAACGTTCTTGATACAAGCGATTCTAAAAGCAGTTCCCAATCAGACAGAAATGCTTCTACGACTAAAGCTATTTTTACATTCTCTGTGGAACACCATTCATTCACAATCTTTAACAAATTTATTTGCAACTAATTCATAACAAAATTTACAACTTATTTTATTAAATGATTTATTTATGTATTTATATACACATATTTCTACAATTCATTAGTTTATTATTTAAAAAATGAAAGTGTTTTTCTAAACACTTTTGTGACTAAAATACCTTCTTAAATGACTTATTAGTTTGATCAATTCAAAAAGTATATTTTTACGACAATGTTCGAAATCGATTCAAACCAGTGACCCAGAATTTCGTTCCGCAACAAATCTCTGTGCACGCGATTTGGTCCCCTTGATCTTGGCATTTTCGACCTGCGGCGACGTAAGCAAAAGCCTCCACAATCACGCGGTAACCACCATCATCGATCGACCTCATCAAGTTCCCCGTCAATTGGATGAATGCAACCGTCTCCATTGTCGTCGTCTTTGACCTACTACC